TGTCCTGGTTTCAGCTGAGATAGAGTTCAGTTTCTATCTAGTAGCTGGTATTGTGCTGTGTTTTGGATTTAGTATGAGAATAACCTTGATAACACACTGATGTTGTAGTTCTTGCTAGGTAGTTGTTTTGTCTACACTACGTCAAGGACTTCTCAATTTCTCATGACCCGCCAGGTGGACAGGAAGCTGGGAGAGCACAGGACAGCTGACCCAGACTGGCCAAAGGGACATTCCCTACTGTATTGTGTCAGGCTCTGTATAGAACTGGGGAAGCTACGCAGGAGGTGGGATCGCTGCTTGGAAACAGACTGGGCATTGGGTTGTTTTAGTTTGTTTTGGTTTTTTTATTTAGAGCAGAAGGAGTTGGAAGGGACCTCTGGAAATCACCTAGTCCAACCCCCCTGCTAAAGCAGGATCACCCAGGGCAGATTGCACAGGATTGCATCCAGGTGGGTTTTGAATATCTCCAGAGAAGGACACTCCACAACATCTTTGGGCAGCCTGTTCTAGTGCTCGGTCACCCTCACAGTAAAGAAGTTTTTCCTTATATTGAGACAGAACTTCCTGTTTGTTCCTGTTGCCCCTTGTTCTGTCACTGGGCACCATTGAGAAGACTCTGGCCCCATCCTCTAGGCATCCACTCTTTAGATATTTATAAATGTTCATAAGATCCCCTCTCAGTCTTCTCTTCTCCAGGCTAAGCAGACCCAGCTCTCTCAGCCTCTCCTCATACAAGAGATGCTCCAGTCCCCTAATCATCCTCGTAGCCCTCCACTGGACTCCGTCCAGTAGTTCCTTGTCTTTCTTGAAATGTACACAGGACTCCAGATGTGGCCTCACCAGGGCAGAGTAGAGGGGGAGGATAACCTCCCTCGACCTGCTGGCCACACTCTTCTTAATGCACCCCAGGATCCCATTGGCCGTCTTGGCCACAGGGGTGCATTGCTGGCTTATGGAGAGCTGCTTGTCCACCAGGAATCCCAGGTTCTTCTCTGCAGAGCTACTTCCCAGCAGGTCAACCTGTAACCTGTACTGGTGCATGGGGTAATTCCTCCCTAGGTGCAGGACCCTACACTTGCCCTTGTTGAATTTCATTTGGTTCGTCTTTGCTCAGTCCTCTAGTCTGCCTGGATCTCACTGAATGGCAGCGCAGCCTTCTAGTGTATCGGCCACTCCTCCCAGTTTTCTGTCATCAGCAAATTTGCTGAGGGTATACTCTGTCCCCTCATCCAGATCATTGATGAATATGTTGAATAGGACTGAACCAAGCACTGACCCTTGGGGCACACCACTAGCTACAGACCTCCAACTAGACTCTGGGCCACTTATCACAACCCTCTGGGCTCTGCATTCAGCCAGTTCTCTACCCACCTCACTAATCATCCAACCCACGCTTCCTAATCTTGCTTATGAGGATGTTACCCCTCATCCAGATCATTGATGAATATGTTGAATAGGACTGAACCAAGCACTGACCCTTGGGGCACACCACTAGCTACAGACCTCCAACTAGACTCTGGGCCACTTATCACAACCCTCTGGGCTCTGCATTCAGCCAGTTCTCTACCCACCTCACTAATCATCCAACCCACGCTTCCTAATCTTGCTTATGAGGATGTTATGAGAGACGGTGTCAGAAGCCTTACTGAAGTCAAGGTAGACAACATCCACTGCTCTCTCTTCATCCCCTCAGCCAGTCATGCCATCATAGAAGGCTATCAGATTGGTCAGGCATGATTTCCCTTTGGTGAATCCATGTTAACCACTCCCAATAACCTTCCTCTCCTCCACATGCTTATTGGTAACCCCCAGAATAAGCTGCTCCATCACCTCTCTGGGAATGGAGGTGAGGCTGACTGGCTGTAGTTTCCTAGGTCCTCCTTCTTGCCCTTTTTGAAGACCGTAGTGACACTGGCTTTCCTCCAGTACTCGGGCACCTCTCCTGTTCTCCATGACCTTTCAAAGATGACTGAGAGAACCCTAGCAATAACATCTGCCAGCTCCCTGAGCGCTCTTGGGTGCATCCCGTCAGGGTGCATGGATTTCTGGATGTCGAGATTGCCTAGATGTTCTCTAACCGATCCTCCTTGACTAAGGGAAGGTCTTCCTTTCTCTAGACTTTCCTGCCTCCAGGGTCTGGGTTTCCTGGAGGGCCAGCCTTAGCAGTAAAGACTTTAGCAAAGAAGGCATTCGGTAACTCCACCTCCTCTGTATCCTCTGTCAGCATGGCACCCTCCTCATCAGCATTTGTATTTTTCCTAGTCTTCCTTTTGCTGCTGATGTGTTTGAAAAAGCCCTTCTTGTTGTCCTTGACATCCCTTGCCAGTTTTAATTCCAAATGGGCCTTAGCCTTCCTTGTTGCATCCCTACATTCTCTGACAACATCCCTATATTCCTCCCAAGTGTCCACTCCCTTTTTCCACATTCTGTAAACCTCCTTCTTCCCTTTGAGTTTTTCCAGAAGCTTCTTGGTCATCCATGCAGGTCTCCTGCCTCCTTTGCTTGATTTCCTGTTCTTTGGGATGCACCGATCTTGAGCTCGGAGTTATTTTCCTTCCACATGTGGTGAGCAATTGCATTGGTGCATAACTTGTTTTATTATTGTTGTTGTTATTACTGTTATTATTCTCTTCCTTTGTTATCCTAAACTGCCTTTACCTCAACCCACAAGTTTTTTTTCCATTCTCCTTCCCATTCCCTTAGGGGGGAGGGGTGAGCAAGCAGCTGCGTGCTGCTTAGCTGCCATCTGGGGCTAAACCACCACACCAGAAAAATCTAAATGCACAAGTCTAAAATAGTTTCAGAGTAGAGGCAAAGGGGAAGACTGGAGTTGCTGCAGATGCCTCAGGAACCTGAGGCAAACCGTTCTGTGGCCTTGACTGCTTGGAGGAATTGATGAGCAGACATGACACAGGGTATGTTAATAAAATTTTGGCTAAAAAGGAGGGGCTAGTGTTACAGAGTTATTTAAAGATGAGATTTCTTTTTTCTGCACGGTGCATTTGTATTGGCTATGGGGGAGAGAAGATCATCTCTTTTGATTGATTGTCTTTTAGATTGTATTTATTCGTATAGATGTATTAGTACTTACTTAAAATAGGTTTAAGTTTACCTCTGACAGTGGGCATGAAGCTTTAGCATGGTCCTTTTTTGTTATAAGATCCATGTAAAGAAAGAATATTGACTGCTTTATGTAGATCATGAGTGGCATAAAAAAAGAGGAGATGAACCAGGGAGGTTTAGGAAGATAATTAACAGACAAGGGGAGTTCAGTTGTTTGTCTTGGTTAACCATTCTGTACAGAGGAGGCCAGTGGAGCACATGATGGAGGAAGGAGGGGTTTGCATACCTTGAGGCATAAAGTGTTTTACATGTCAACAGTGACTAGTCTGTAATAAAATAAAATAGGGGAAATAAAAAAGAAGAATAAACGTCTGGGATTAAGCCTGGCAAAAGTAGTTACTCTAGGTGGGCTTTGCACAATTTGATCACAGCTCACAGGCTTGTTCCATAACTGGAGGAGTCTGACATGTTCTTTTAATTTAGAAAGTGTAGGCCTTAAACAGCAGATACTGAGATATATCCCGTCTCACGTCAACCTGATATGTTTGCCTTCCCTTTATTAAAAACTGATTACCCTGGAAAGTGCTGAGATTGAATAACTTATTTCCAGTGGAATCCAAATGGCTGTGATGGCATTTTTTTCATCTTTTTGGTAGAGGCAGACAGTGCAAATAATTGGATGGTAGCAAGAAACGTCAATTCTGTATGCCTACCATGGAGTGTGAAGAGATAGAACAATGCACACCCACCATTTTAATTAAGGAGCTTCTGTTGTTTGTGAGTCTGAAAACACAGTAATTTAAAACACTTGAACTCCTATCTTTCTTTAATAAAATGTTGCTGCAATTAAGGCAGTCATGGAGAGAGGGAAATAGAGACTCTTCTCATTAGTTGTGATACATATTTTTTGTTCATTAATACATTGTGATTTATAAATTGCATAAGATGCAAATTGTGGAGGGGGAGAGGTACATATATCATGCAGGACTCTGATGTCTGGAAAGCCTTTTTTGGTGGCCTTGAATTTGTGACCCATTTGTTTAACCTACCCCTGTAATTACTTCATTAAGCTACCAAGGGGTAGAAAATTGGTTGTTACTGAGATCACTTGACTTCATTTTTGGTTTTCAACACGCTCTGAAAAAGTCTGAGTCAGTTTGCTGTAGTACTTGCTGAAGAGAGAAACTTTGGGCTCCTGAGGAAAGTCTGTGCACATGCATCAGATCGTGTAGTTGACTGAGTTTTTCTTTTGTTGTGAAGTTGAGGCTGTCATACCTGTGTGAGATTTGGAGGCAGGCAGGGAGAGCTGTTGCGTATTTCTTTAAACTCTCTGAGGTGGTGTTTTCCTCCTGTTAATTATGTACTGGTGCTTCCTAGCAAGAAACTTTGTGATTCTTTTTTAAAAAATTCCTTTCCTTAAAGGAAGTTTGAACTATGTACTTGAACATAGTTATATATAGCCCAGTCATGGATACTAAATCCTTTTGAATAATCTCCCCTGTATTTAGATTGTCATCTACTTATATTTATTTTGAGTGTCTAAAGCTTTTAGAAGCACCTAAGATTTACAAAAACTATGACAAACATAAACTGGACTAACATATTTTGTTATGTATATATTTTTGTCTACTAGTGCTACTAAGTGTTGTGCTTATTGCCACATGCAATTCCACTGCTCTCTCTGAGACCAATTATCTGTAGAACTACCTGAAGCAACTGGTTTTGTCTGGCCTGGCTAATGAAGTTGAAAGTAATTTGTTATGGGTAAAACCGGAAAGGAGAACAAAGTACATTATCATTTTAGTTTCCTACAGCCATATGTAACGTCCTATGCGTGTGAGCAAATGATTGCCTGCAAATCACAGGTTGGAGAACATACATTCTGCATATACTAGACTTCATGTAACTATTTCTACCCTTTCTGGTGTGTTGCACAGGTTAACATTCAGCCTTCTGAATGGCACCGCTCCATACTGCTGCCACAGTCCTGGTTAGGATTTATGAGTCGAACCTACAGTGCAGTCCTGCAGGTAATTTCAAGGTGCATAATATTGTGCACATAAAACTGATGCCACTTGAATGAGCATTAATTTTTACCAGCAAGAGTATCCATGCAAGTTACAATAATTTAAAAATAACGCTTGAGGTGTTTAATAATAAAATTTGTGAAAAGGAAATGAAAGCGAGTCTTCAGTTGATGGCAGCACAGTCTGGGATACTTTGGAGAAGTATAACTTCTGCTTACAGTTCAAGTTCTTGCAGTCTTATTCCTGTGTCAAGTTGCAGAATGTGTCAGTTCTTAGAATTTTTAGAATATGAAATTTTAACTAGAGGTCTAGCCTATTATTTTGGGTAGGAATTTTGTAATGATAGTATCACAAAGGAGACAGAAGCTACTGAGGAATGATTAATTAACTAGAACTTCCGTTAACCAGAATGTAATGCTGTCACACTGTGAGGGACTTGTCTTTTCATTTTTCTACCCTATCTAATGATTAGGAAATATCTTTAAACCTCTCTTTCATTAGGTTAGCTGACCTCATATCTAGAGCAATGTAGTGTCATTCAGTGTTTCAACAGGGAACTGATCGAAAAAAAATTTAACAAATAGCTGCCTTCTAGAAGGCTCTATTTGTGCTACTAGAAGTGCTTATTTGTTGTATATTTCCAGGCCACATCAGCTGCTTTCAGCATGAGCAGCTCAGGTTGCTGAGCGAATTCTAGAAGCTTTTGCTGTGCAGCAAAACATACGCTTCTCTAACATTTTCAAAACAAATTTTATCTTGGCCATCAGCAAAATATCAGATTCTAAACCTAACCAGTCCCATTACAAAGCAGGTAGCTGCTATTCAAATTGCAGTTTTAGCTTGTAACTACAGAGGGGGCCATTGTTGCTTGCATTTAAGTACTTTCCTATTCTGCTTCCCCTCTGAGGCAAGATTTCCCAAGCAGCTTGGTGTTTACCAGACTTGTTTCTGAAAGCCTCTCCAGGATTTGTGCCATTTTACAGGGCAATCGAACCTATTTTTGTTGCTTCTGAAGTCCCTCACTGGAGACTTTTTTTTTTTTCTGAGACCTTACTTACTCCTTATGCTTGTCATACATTTCATCTGAGATGGCCGAGAGTCTACAGTATGTGTAGTCTGGATAGTAAATAATTCAGTATTTCTGAACAGCTAGTAGAGTAATCATTTCCACAGTTTGGAGTCAGACATTCACAGAGTACAGTTTGTCAGAACACTTATGTGAGGATTTTTTTCCCTTTGGACACCTGAACGTCCTCTTATCTTTTATTATGTCTACTCATGGACTTAAGCACTTCTGCCAGTGTGTGCATTCAGCATGTTTTTGAGACTGAAATAAAATTCATCATGATGATCCTACAGGTATTGATTTAGGACAGAACTTCAGTCAATGTTTTTTGTGTTGGGGAAAATTGCTGTAGGTTTTTGCATAGTTTTTATGCAGCCTTCTCTTTAGTTGGTGTGTTGTGTCTGCTCCTTTAATCTCTGTGAGTCACCTTTTGAGTGACATCTGGATTTACGGGGTTGACTCTCTTGTATTCTCAGAGAATGCAGACTCAAACTGCAAGTGTTCGATACCTGAAAAACATGTGTGCTTATATTTTTCACATAAGGCTTAATAACCTACTAAGGAGCAGTAACCGACAACCTAAGTTAAGTTGGCATGTAGTTGTCTCATGGCTGGAGATTGAACATAAAGCAAAGCTGCTTACTGTGTTTAGATAACAATTGTTAGAGGCCAGAATCCATATCATCTCCTTTAAAGAACTGTTATAGGAGGTCAAAGGGAGGTTGGGGTCATAGAAAGGAAAAAAATGAGGAATTCTGCTTTAAGTAGTGGATCAAGAAAGTGATGTTTTGCTGTTAGAATCCATTTTAGCAAGCAGGCTTCTAAATTTCATTCCCTGCTTGTTGTACGTCTTCCCAGAGGAACTTGTCTAGGAGAGATGTCTCAGTATCTGTGGCCATTTGTGCCATCTGCAGTTTGTTTTCCTCACTCAGAATTTAAAAAAAAAAATTTCTTTTAATATATTCTGTATTACAATGGGATGCCATATCAAAAGTAGTTAAGTTCACTTGTGAAGTAGTCCTCAACTAAAAGGCTACATCCATTACCTAAGTGTTCTCTGAAGAAATCTTGTGATGATTGGCTATGTAAGATCCACCTCTGACTTATTCTGTAATTCTGCAGGGGAGGCAGGCAGAGCTGGAGATGCAGTTAAAACATGGAAAAGAGGATCCTGAAGAGGTGCAGTACAAACAATTTACAGCCTGGCTCTGGTAAGGAAGTGCCTGTCTGCTCCTGATCACTTCTAATGGCAAGGAAGGGGGCAGAGGAGGGCAAGACTTGGTTTTGCAAGTTTAAAGACTGTATGAGCACTAATTAAAAAACAAACAAAAAAACCCCCCAACCATAAAAACCCCACCAGGTACAGTGATCACGGCGGAGGTGTGTGGAGAAACAGACTAATGGGTAACTATCTGTAAGGGTTCCCATATGCACAGGTTCGCATGTACCTTCCCCTCTACAGTGTCTGAAACTTTGTAGGGTAAGCAACTGGAAGGAATGGAAAACTGAATTTGTTTTCTGTCATGTTGAAGCAGAAGGATTATGCAAAGAGCAAAACTTACTTGTGGAGACTAAGTGAGCTGTCTCACTCAAAGGGGCTTGATAAAATAAATGTAAGCCATGGTACGATGTATGTTGTAGTGAACTGAGACACATCTCAGTTCATATGGTAAGTTGGCCATGTTGAGCCTGAGAATGTTGTTTAAACCAAGCACCTGGTGCACACCCTGATCCACGTCCTTAACTACTTGTTTCAGTCAGCTGAGGAGTGTGTCTCAGTCTGTTGGTATTTAGCCATGTATGTGCATGGCCAGGGGGATGAGATGGGAAGTGGGGGGCCTCACAGAAAGAAATAATTATTTATCCATGGAGAGTATAAGTATCTGTTTCTGTGCTTGTCCTAAGTGCATTGGGAACAACGTATGTACAAACAAAACCAAAATGCCCTTTGCCCATTTCAGTCTAAAAGGTATTTACTAAGTCCAACTCAACAGAAATACAAAATCTGGGTCTGTTTTTTTATTCCAGCTAAGTCTAGATTAGAGGGTTTCATAGTAAGATCCAAAATGATGGTATTGTAGAAGAGATTCTTTATGTAGTAGTGGCAAAATTTTCTGTTGTTGCTCTGCCCAATCCCTTTCCTGATAGGGTATAAAGAAAAAACATTTTCCAGATGAGAAGAATGCCTATAGCAATGCTGCTTTTGTAGATTTCTCCTGAACCAATTTCTGCTTTTTATTTCCTAAATAGTGCTAATGTAAGCTATGTCAAAAATGAACAGAATTCCCTTTAACAGTGGAGAAATCAAAGCAGTAAATGAACTAGGAGCCTGGTATTAGCTTTCATGTCTTTTCCCATTTCCCCTTGATTGCTTGGTGCTTCAGGGCTTTAACTTCAGTATCCATTAAGCTTTTGCGTTGCACACAGGGTCTAACCTTATTGTGGACAGCTTGATATAAACTTCAGTGTTAATGCTTTACTGTATAAGTACTGTGGAATTTTGCATTGGTGTAAGTGTTTCTGTTGCGAAGTTGGTGTGTTTCTAGTGTAGGTGGGTTTGAAACGGTGTGTAAAACCAGTGTGGTTATGAAGGAAACCCTGAGTAGGTTTCTTTTAAAGCCTGAGTATAACTCAGTTTTATAACATATAGCCCTGTTTTATGAGGCATGCATTTTTAGTCTTCTAATCACATGTGGAACTGTGATTGGAGTGTTATCTTTTTCTGTACAATGACAGTCATGGCCAGGATGGTTATTTTATGTTGTCATATAGAGAATCTCTTCCTTCATCCAAACCTGGCAATATATAAGATTCACAGCATCTCTATTTCTGTCTTGATATGAATGCAAAATTAAACACATGAAGACAAGTAGCCTATTATAAATTAACTACAGTAATATGTAAGAAATTGTAACTACTCCTATGGCTTTCATTTGGATGGATTCAGATTACATAACTGCCCATAGTAGTTTCCAGGAGTATAGTAAATTGTTATGGTTGTCCATTGTAGAACATTCTCATTTTACTATGCTAAGGCATAGCACGGTGATCTAGGAACTTATGTGTAACATCTCAAAGAACACATTTATGGCTATTGCATGAACCCACATTTTACAAAAAACGGTATGAAGTCAGATAAGAGCCTTTTTTAGAACATTGGTAGTGCACATAGGCGTGAAGAAATGTCAGGTTTTTGTACAGTTTTAATGCTTGTGATTAATTTGTGCTAAGTATTCTGATAGCTAGATGAGATAATTGTTAACCTAGAATGATCATGTGTAAGGCATAAGAGGAAATTAGCTGAGTTCACACTAATATAATGAATATGGTATAAATTCTTTCTGTTTCTGTTGCAGGGTCAGAGATATGTTGACTGATGTCATCAAAGGTGCTTCCAAGTAAGAACTGCTGATTTATTACAGATGAGAATGAGTTCTCATTTGTGGCAGAAGATGTAGGATAATTTTTGCAATTGGTTATCTGCCAGTTTCATGATTTTACGTGACTGCTGTTCAGGAAGGGAACTTTTTTGCACCTTTGAGTGGTGGCTTTGAGATTTTTATCACTGGCTGTGTCTATTAGAAAAGCTGATGCCTAATGCTTTGAGTAAAGCCTGAGTAGTGTTACATGCACGATAAGTCTGTTCTTTTTTTAACTAGTAGACTGTTTGCCTCGAGTAGCTTCATTTATCTAGAAGTTGGGTGGTCTTTAGTGGAGTATGGGCTCTTCAAAACTGTCCCACTTTCTGTTAAGGTGTCTTTCTTGTGCCCAGATGCCCCCAAAGACAGGAAATTAGATGTTTTCAGATTGTGACAGGCTTGTTTATTTGCTGTTAGAATTGGCACACAGCTTTCAGGCAGCAATAAGTATTCTAACCTTCCTTCACAGGCTGCGAAAGTGGTTTGACATCTTCCTTTTGCTCCCTGCTGGCAGGTAGCTTCCTATTATGCTTTGCCCTTGGTTAACCTGAAATTGGCCACTTGCACAATGTTAAGAAAAAGCATCACAAATAGTGAATCTGTGTAAGAACAAGTACTTAGAAAATCTTAAATCATAAAGATGTCATCCTTGAAAGAATTACAGACCACTTCAACGTTGATATTCTTGTAAATATGTAAAAGGCTAATTTGAAATACTTTTGTGAGTTGAGAGTTTTGGAGATTTTAATTAAGACTTTCCATAAAGGTTTGAACTTTTTCTTTTTTAAACTTATCGTCGTTCAGTTATTTCAAATAATCCCAGCTGCTCCATTTCCTTGCACGTCAGTGAAGGAGTCAGTTAGAGGGATGAAATTTGAAGATGTTTGATATTTTAGCTACTCAATAAATACCTGTGTTAAGGTAAGGTAGTAGAAAGAGATAAATAAAGGAGGAACAAAATAATAAACTTCAAATATATCATATTCTCTGTCTCAGAATTAAAATTATGATTTTAGTTCTAGAAGTTCATTAGCAAAACTAGTTGAGGTAGAAGCATTTCCTAATTTGGGAGGGAGTGCTGAATTTTCTTTAGGTAACAGCAGAAGGATTTCCTGTGCATAGATCACATCTCTAGAACTTCTTGTGTTTATGACTTTCTTTTAAGAAAATACTCAGGTTTTTTCCCCATCTGTTCAATAAAGAGTAAGACACTGCTCTTCTTACTCCTGGGGCTTGTTAGGATGATGATCTTTACCTTCAATAAATCTAAAGCATTCAGCTTTCATGAGTGTGTATTTAAAGTTTCTCTCTGAGGTACATCATGAAATGTAACCTTTTAGAAGTTGGTGATCAATAACAACAAAGGTTCTATACATAGATTAGGAAATTATTTAAGGGAAAAGATAAGGGGAGATTTCAAAGAACTTAACTAAACACCTAGTTGTAATTATTTGTAGGTATCTCTTATCTGAAAGGAAATAGTTTCAGTATTCCAAACAGGAGAGGTCATTGACATTCCACTAAGACCTATGTGTGTTATTTTAAAAAGCAAACCAGAAATCCAGAAAATATTTTAATTGTGAAAATGAGATCTTTGGCTCTGGAACAAATGCCTAAATTTGCAGTGTGGGTGTATTTTTACAACAACAGTTGAGGAAGTTTTTAGAAATGGAAGAATTTTGCAAAAAGTGTGGTACACTGTGTACTGGCTAGTGTAAGACTGTAAGTGGTCTATTACACTTGTATTCTTCAGCTGCTATTGTAAAACAACTAAGAGAGTTCCTGCAGAATTAAATTGCAATGTTTTTCTCTGGGAATGACTGGGATATCAACATCTACCTTTTCATGAAACTGAACACAATTATATTCTCTCTCTTATTTGTAGGTGGCAGATTTTTTTCCATGAGTTCCTTAAAAGTAAAGGTTTGCACTGTGATAGAAGTTAGTACTCTTTGAAACCTGTAATTTCCCATGATGTTAATGTTTTCATAGCATAGGGAAGTAATTCAAAACTTTTTTTCTTAAGCTGAGAATTCAGTGATGGCTGCTCTGCTAAATCTCCTGAACAGATGCTGTTGCAGCGAAGTGGCCACTTGCCTGTCTAGCATTCTCTATTTTAAGAGCTTTTTGTGTTGTCCTGTGTAGAGATGGTGCTAACTAAGAGTAACTGGTGCATTTCTGTGAGTGCAACTTGCTCTGCAGGGTGGCAGTTCTTCTTAAAAACTTCAGGATTCTGTTTTTATACAACTTTGTGTGTGCTAGGCTTCATATAAAAGACAAACATGAAAAAAGATTGAAACACTTCTGTGCCCCATTCTTTCTCTGATTTGTGGAGATGATACGCAATAGACTTTTGCTGAGCTAGAAGACAGCCCAATAAAGTTGCTAGGTGCAAAGGCCTTCCCTCCTGGACCACCTGTAGCATAACTCCTGCATTGAGACATGTTTTGTTGCCTGCATCTCTATGACGCTTTTTAACTGTTTGCCTTTTCCTGTCCAGAGACAGCCCAGTGGTGAAAGGAAACTCTATTTTTGCCTTAACTGGTCTTGCGGTTGCTGTAGCCAAGTATGAAAGCAGCCTTTCCTCAGACACTGAAGGGATGCCTGAGGTGAGTCAGTCTGGGAAAGAGATTCTCTACTCTTAGTGGGATATAATGAAGCAATATGACCAGGTGTTTGGGGAGGCTGGTGAATGGATGTGAAGTACTTCACATTTTGAAGTTCAAATTTCACCCTGCTCAGTGAATGCCATCTGGTGGCTGCTGTGTGATCTATACAAAAGTAGCCAGGGCATGTATGTGCCTTCTCACAAGAAATACTAACGCATTGAAACACTAACACATTTATTTGTTGGTTCTGACAGATGAGATAGAGGTCTAGTGAACACTGAAACCCAGCCAGCCTCTTTTCTCATCTCTTAGGTACAACAGAGTGTTTTAAGGTGGCATACTCTACACACATCCTATTTTGGCATCAGCACAGGGCCTTGTAATGTTTCACCAACTGTGATAGTCCAAGTTTTCTGTGCAGGGATAAGAAAGATCTTAAAACCAACAAATCAGCCAAAGAAAAGTTCAGATCAATGGGTATCTGTTGTAGGCTGGGTCAAACCCATACACTGATATGGACAACTTTTGCTAATGGATCCAGAAAGCTTAGGGTGCATAAGGCTTGCAAGGAAAGGAGGGTAATGCTCTGAGAGCCCTTTTATTCATTTTTGTTATTGTTGTGTTTTCTAGTGGCCTGAAAATCTTTTTTTGGGGGGTGGGGTGTACTCATTCAGGTTTTTTTACCTATTCTCTTTGAAGACCATTTTGAATGAAACTTTTTTGACCTGGCTAATGGTGGAAGA